GAGTTGGAATGCAGTGGGTACGATAAGGGGTTCTCAAAGTAGGCCCGGTTTGTAAAAACCCGGTTGACCCAGTTGACTTTTTGGCTGTGATCTGTCAAAAAATGTCAACTCGATACACAAGGTTACTGCCAAAAAGCAACCGGGTCAACTGGGTTTTCTTGAAACCGGGCCAACTTTGAGAACCCCTATAGCATGTGAAGATAAGTTATGAGAATAAATGTGCCAATTCAACTGTTGGGGCATGCCCACATTGTCTCTAGTAAATGAAATGCATTGAAAATAAAATCAAAAAGCAATGTGCAATAAAACAAGATAAATAATAGAGTGAATTACAGCAGATTACAAAGAGCAAGCTAATGTATCATTACGATACTTTCTTCATTGTATATCTTAGAGCAAAAGGACTCTACATCAATGTGATACTTAACAGGTCAGACTGTTGACGCAGAAAATTGTAACACATTTTTTGTAAGACATCAATTTTTCAATGATGATGTGACTCAAAGACTTCAAAAAAATACAAAAGTACAACTTTTGATGAATATACCCCATGATCTACGAATTATCAATAATTTTCAAGAGTTTTCATGAGGAAAAATAAAAATAAAACATATTTCACCTACAAGACTCTTTCTAGTAAAAGAACATTTTAAAACTTTCAATCAAATTTCCCACTTCTCTCTCTCTCTCTCTTCCAATCATTCATTCATTCAATCATTAATCTTAGAAAAAAGAATTCCCAAGAACTTTGCCAAAAGTTACAAAACTGAATTATATAAAATCTAACATGCCCAACAAAATATATATATATATAACTCCAAAATTAAGTAACAGAAATACAAACAACAACTACAACAAACGATTATCCATCAAGATCTTCTATGACATCATTCATCATATATACTTTTCTCTGGCATTCGATTTCCAATTCCTTCCATCAAGCTTCCAATACCCATGATAAACGCATTCCGATTCTCAATCGCCACCTTCACTCCTGTTGCACTACTACTACTACTACTACCACTACCATTACCACTACCATTATCTTTCTTTTTCAATCGTTTGGTCCATGCCAATTCAATCACTCGGTCTAATCCATCTTTCAAAGTTTCATATTCTTGGTACGCCATCCTCATTTTAACAATCTCAGTTAATCTGTTCTTTCGATTTTCATTAATTTCAATTTGTTTTTTCAATGTTTTTTGTGTAAGTCTTAGTGAAATTGATATCTCGTCATCTTCTCTTTTACTCCAATCAACCTGTTTGATCATACAAACAAATCCAAGTCAATTCAGGAAATTAAGATAAAGAATATCATCTGAAAAATGCGTACCTCTTCATCATCTTCAAGTAAACCAACATATCTCAACTCCTTCAACATCTTGGCTTCAACATCCATCGGATCCATCTCCTTGAACGCCTCGATAACCTTTTCATTCACATTCCCTTCATTCATCTTCACATCCGTATCACCACCGGTTCCTTTCACTTCTTCACTGTTGAGAGGTTGAGTTTGAGAAGAGTTAGTATGTTTCAATTTCTTCAAAGCTTGTAATGATCCCAACAATCTTTCGGTCAATGGTCCACTCTCAAGACTTTCATTTCCAAAACATCCATCATGAATCTCTTCTCTTTTGATCCTTTCCAACTTTTTTCCTCCTCTTCCTCCAACCTCTTCATCTTCCTTCATTGGCATGGGTGTACCTAAATCTTCACTTTTCCATACTTCACTATAATGAGTTCCTAAACAAGGTACATCATATACGCATTGATCGTCTTCTTTATTTGAAAGAAACGCTAAATCGTCTTCTCCATAACTTCTTAGATAATGTTCATGAACCCAATTTTGAAATTGACTGATCGGGACTTGTGCACCTGTCACTTTTGTCTTTGAGAAATCAGTATTGACTTCTCCTTGACTCTTTGGGTATGGTGGTAAGCTTGGAAATGGGATCGGGCTTGGAACAAAACACTTATTAGGAATCCTGAAATCATCCGTATACTGTTGTGATGGTTGTTCTGTTGTAGGAGTATTACAACGCGAAGTGGTTAAAGATTGATGCAAAGGTTTTGGATAAATCGATGTGGAGGCGGTAGGAGTCAGTATCGAGAAAGAAGCGGGGGTTGTCGAGCTTATTGGATTAGGCTATCTCTCTCACAACGATCCATAGTAAGTGTTAGGAAACTCTGCAAGACAAGGCACCGCAAAAATTGATATGGTACTCACAAAACATCTACTTGGACTTGTACCAAATCTCAATCGTCGTTTCTTTGGCTTGGAGGGTGGTGGTAGCTCTAAAGTGTCTTTCTCTTTGACCTTCAAAGAGGGTGAAGGTATACAATTGGCAGAAGGCGAACGAGAAAGCGTTGGCTGAACCGTTTCAGCCATACTGGGCACCGCCATTTGAGGCACTTCAGGAGGTTTGGCCAATGCCAATGGGACCGACTCATCCGATGATGCGGTCTGAGAGACTTCATTTGTTGCTTGAACAATCGGAGATTGGGCCGAGTCATTTTCGGGGACTTCAGTAGTAGTGTGGAGAGCTGGAAGAGGTGGTGGAATGGCCATATCAGGATTTGATGAAGATGACGGGGGTGGAAGGCTGGGTTGGATAGATGGTGACGGTGATAGTGAGATTCGAGGTGGTGTGGGTATCTCAGGAGAGCCTGCTGAACCGACATAATCAACCAAGGCGCCTGCGGATGGGTGACCCAATGTCTGTGTCGGAGGAGGGGGTAGATCAAGTTGTGGTGAATTGGTTGGAATGGTTGTGAGTGAAACTGATGGTGATATAGAGACGACGAGGTTGGGAATAGGCATTGGTAAAGGTGGTGGGGCGCCTGATGGTAGTGGTGGACATCCTGTAGTTGGAAGCGGGGGCGGAGCTGAAGGTGGTAAAGGCGGTGGTGGAAGAGCGGGCAAGGGGGGTTCGGGAGATTCAGTATGAGCGACGGTTCCAATGAGAGATGTTTGGCTGAGGGATGTTGTCGAATCCAACTTTCGTATTTTAAGATTGGTTCGTCGAAGCGGCACTTCGGCTGTTGATTTAAAGTCAAATAAACATGGAGACTTGATACATGAGCATTGAAACGCGGAATAGCTTACGTGAATCTCTTTCAGAAGTCATTTCGCCACGATCTGAAGCACTGAGGACAGATTCCGATCCATTTCGTTTACGTTTTTTCTTGGATGCAGTTGATCTGAGTAGGATGGAAGATGAGAGAACATATGAGTGATAAATGAGATGAAGTATAGTTGAAGAGCGATGCTAAACTTTGACGAACTTCTTTCGTTTTGAAGCTAGCTTGAGTGTATCGGGTGATGAGCTGGGTTCGGAGGCTAAGAGTGTGGGAGTATGGACTGAAAGAGATCGAGTAAGTTAGCAAGGCAGATGGTCTGAAGCACAATGATCGAATGCAGTACATTGAGCATCACCAACGCTATCTTCGCGCTTGACTCGGATTATTTGAGCTGCGAATCGGATTGAGGATTGACATTGATACGGAACGTCAGTGATACGATCGATACTGAATGTTACTTCATAAGAATACGAGGTCTTACGAGAGATGAATGTTGGAGCAGGCTGATGATCGGTGTGAATTGGGGGTTTTGGGATTGATTGAGGATGAGATTGAAGTGTTGCAGATGTTTCAGGAGATATTGAAGAAGGCTGCAGGAGGTGGTCTGTTTCTATTTCTGTTTGGGTTTTTCTTTCAGATTGTTGTTTTATGAGATTAAGTTTTCTAGTATCGACAGCCACTTTTCTTTCTTCAAGTACCTTGTAAAGTGATCTGAGTTGGTGAAGTTGTGGGATCTCGTTAAGGTTAAATGAAGTGAGATGTGATGATAGACTTGTTGTTGTTGACCATGGTGTGTTTGTTGCTGCAGATGTTGTTGATAGTGGTACTTGTTGATTTTGATTTGATGAAGTAGCGGTTGAAGTTGAGTAGTTAGACATCGTCTTCTTAAATGATTCTCGTTAATCTTTTCTTGAATGCTGATGAAGGTTCTAGTCAAGTTCGCGAATAGTTTCAATTATGTTCTATTAGATATCTTCTTCATCTTTGAGATCCTAACCTTGATAAACCGTCTTTCTCTCTGAATGCTGAGGCTGAGGCTGAGGCTGAATGGTCTTGAACGTCATGGTGATTGGAATTTGGCATCAATTGCTGATTGCTGCTGGTGACTGTCGGGGACCGATGTTTTATCAAATCTCATCATTGGCAGACCCCGAGCTGTCAGTCGGACCGGGTATCAACATAACAGACATCATGACAGCCGAATCTCAAGGTTTTTAAAAATCTCAATGAACCATCTTGATCAGTAAAATGGGTGAAGAACTTTTTCCTCTTGGTCGCACAGTGTTCAAACTTAGAATACTATAAGCAAACGTCCGTCCAATTTCACGAGTTTTCCATGACTCATACCTGGGACACATGACTTTGCAAGAATTGTTGATGTTTTTGGTGCTAAAGGCGCGCCTCTACCAAATGTGTGATGAATTGATGTCAGGCTTTATGAAACCTGCTGTACAACTTTACAATTGCTAGGATCTTTGTAGTGTAGGAAGATATTTCTGAAATTTCTTTAGCTCTTTAAGACGCATTTGTTTAGCAAGTACAAATTTGCCAAAATATCATATATGGCTAGCACGTTATTTACTGGTCTTATTTCCAGAATCATAACCTAGACACAAGTTTTTCTACATTACGCTGGAACACAATGAGGGAAAAAACATGACAAACTTGATGTGTAAAATTTAAAAGGTGATCCGAAATAAAGATAAAAAAGAGCGTTTTTGTTTGGTTCTCGCCCAGTAGACTTGGGTACAAGTTATGAAAGAAAAAAAAAGAATGACTAATCTTGGATGGTGATGGTATTGGAAAGCCAGGTCTCGTAATCGTGCTCATTGGTTGAGTCACCAGCCAAGCGTAAAGCCCTTCAATCAGACGTACACACAGACAACATCAATTTTTTTTCAACTTTTTTGTTGTTTGAAAAGTCTTGAATATTCCGAATGACTCACCTTATCAGAATTTTATACTTCCCTGCTGGGACCATTTTGTGTGGAAGATTGGAACCGACATACAGTGTCCCATTCCAAGGCTTTGAATAAGTATCCTCAGCGCTGCTCTCGCCAGGAAAAACAAGATCAGTGAGAAGGTAAGAGAATAAGGGATGTACGAAGTATCCAAAACTTACCGTGAGCGAGGATACCTTGCCATGTGGCCGTGTCCGATCTCACCCATTATATTGAGTCCTTCGCAAGATTTCATTGGGAAGTTACCTTTGAGTGTGACGCAGTCTGCCTTACTTGTCGAGTCTTTTTCATGAGCATCTTGGGAAATTGCATCTCGCTTCCGTTTTGCCTGCTGAAGACTCGCTCCAGATGAAGAGCTTGGAGATTCCAGCGAAACAGCGTAGAATCTTAATGAACGAGTAGCGACTGAAAAGGATTGAAATGAGAGTTTTCTAGAGGATTTAGCTCAGAAGTGCCCCGTTATGAAAAACAGCTAACTTACAATTCAATCGGTGGTCAGTGTGTACTTTCTCGTGCAATGTCCGATTCCAGATAAGCCCGCCATCTTTGTCTGTGTGGGCAACTGTATCTTTGTGGTGGTCGAGGTTTAAGAAAGGCAAGTTATATGTACCATTGTCGTCTGTGGATGGCCCTTGGTCGATAACTGTCGGCAGAAATCCAATGAGAATTAATCGTCCGGATGATTAGCACAAACAGACAGCTTACTGATTTGGTCTTTCAAGGACCCCACACTACCGTAGTAGGGGATAGTATGCTCTTCACATTCTCTGTTGGTTGACTACAATTTGATCAAACATAAGCAACACGTTCAGAAATGGACCAAAATAGCGGTGCGTACGAGTTTAATGAAGCCAGAATAAACCGCGAGTAATTTTGGGTCGACATGAGGAGGTTCAAAGACTACAGTAACGGTCTTTGATTCGTGAGGTAATATCGAGATTTTCTGGCTAGGGAATGTAACTTTTGCCGCTTGTTTGTCTTGGTGAGGGCTTTTGTCGGGACGAGAAAAAGACGAGTTCACAGAAAAAGTGTAGACAGTGGCAGCGGGAATATGAGAAAGGCTGTATTCGAGAGGTATAGAGCCTTCATTGAGAACATCGAACGTATGGGTAGCCTTGAAGTTGCTTGTATCGTTCAATGTAAGCGATGATATGGAAACCGAGCTGTTTGCAAATGCTGCACAATAAGCATTCACTAAACCACCTCCTTGTTGCACGACCGCTGAATGTGTATTAAAAAGTTATTAACTTCAGATCTCATTTTGAATGGTGAGATAACTTACTATGCAATGTGGTAGCATCGATAGCATCGCGTACTGGCTTCGCCGTAGTTGTCAGCCTGGCGCGCATAGACAGCCCACGCACGCCTTTTCCTCTGACGCTCATGACCAAAGCAGCAATACCTGCAAGCTGGAGCGGTGATGGAAGATGGTGAGCATTAATTCAAATATCTGAGAACGTATTGATACCGACCTGAGGCGCTGCCATGGATGTACCACTCATGTAATCCTAGTAAAGTGTATGTGATCAATTTCCGCGCCAAGTTTATGATTTGTTGAATGCTCACATAAGATCCTATGCTAGTGGGAAAGGTGGCTGATACGAATTTTCAATGTTAGGATAGGGCTACGTGAGGATGATGACGGAGAAACGATCACTAACATAAGACATCGCCTCCGATTGCTGCTATAGTAGGTTGCTGATTCACAAAATCAAAGCTAGGTCCACTGGAGAAAATATATGTTGTCAGAATTAGTATACAGTCTTTTGAATAGCTAAGAGACCTACTGACTATTGCGACCAATCATTTATAAGACCTTGACCTTGGCTTGCACCTGGAAGGGTACCAAATACAACAGAAGTTTGAGGAAAGTGTACTGTGAATCCTTTGGGATCTTTCGCATGTTGTTCAAATAGATATTCTCCGTCTATTCGGCTCAGTGCTGCCATACGGAAGGACTCGGGGTAAGTTGCGACGTTGATGATTTGATCATGGTTCTGCGCGGGTGAAAATATTATCTTGAAAAATGATCAATACCACATTCTGTGAAGATCAAGTGGACAGAAGCAACTGACCATATAAAATAATATCTTGCTTGCTCCCATTTTGCGGGCATTATTTGCCTGCGTGTCGAACCAACATGATCTGCGGATAACCAGACAAGATAAATAACACATGTCTCTCTTCAGCTGAAAGTCATACTAGTCCAGTGAAATCATGACAAACCCGACTCTGATGAGTACTACGAAGTCCGTGAGATTTGGGGTCGAAGAAGGAAGTGGATCGCATGCATCGTTTGTAACATTGGTCGAATTGGCCGTTGCATAGATTGGATAATTCCCTGAGAATTCCGACAATGAACGCGGTGCATAATAGTTCATCTTGCGTCCTGTAGAGGTCTCCAGGTATTCTGAGGCGGCTCCAGATGACTCGACTGTTGCAACCGAAATTGCAGCTCGGGCCGATGCAGGTCCTTGGGCGTAAAAAAGGCCCTCCTATCACACAAGAAGTGAAGGTGAGAATAGGAAGAAAAATCCGGGAAAAAAGAACGTACATCACCCGAATTTCCTGCTGAAAAGATGATTGTAGCGCCTTTCTTCTCGACAAGGTTATTCACAGTGTCCAACCATGGGGATCCTTCAGACCATCCCTCGATGCCACCAAGAGAGGCAGAAATGATGTCCGCTGATAGGAATCAAATTACGTTTACAAATGTGCGTTGGAGAAAACATTGGGTAAGCTCCTGGTTCGAAACACTTACCTCCATCGTTATGAGCTCGTAAGAGCGCAGCCATGATGACATCTTCTTGGGTCCCCTTGGTTTCGTTGCACGAAAAGACTGCTCATGAAAAGATGATGTAAGGTGAGTAAGATCACGCGCGGAACCTGAGACGTCAAAAACTTACCTCCTGAAATTTGAGTAGAAGAGATTTCGACCCAGAAAATGTGAGATTCGTGCAGACATCACGGTTCCACAATAATGGAAACTCACGATAGGCCCCCAGCGTAGCGTTGGGTGCAGCTCCATTAAACCCCCCACCGATATTGTTTGCTCCAATGATACCCGCAACGTGTGTTGCATGATCCTAAGCATTGGAAACACAGTTAGCATCGTCTGTCGAAAAAAATAGATTCAAGCAACTGACCGCACAAGTATTGCATGGATTTGCATCAGGCTGTGGCTCGTTGGCTCCGGTGTAGTCATCCCCTACCAAGTCATATCCAAATCCGATCTTGAAGCCCGGTCCGAACCCTCCTCCAAGGGCGGGATGAGCACAGTCTACCCCAGTATCCAGAAACTGGGCGAGATGTATCAATAAGTTTGTCAGTAATAATTCTTGGAACTTGTCTGAGACCTCATAGATGCAGCGGATGTAGGATATAACATTCTCACAGCAATTTTGATCCCGTGTCCATAGATCCCCAACTGGTGTAGTTGGGTGACGTTCGTTTGTAGGTGAGGTGGGTAATCCGGGAGTGTCCCTGGTAAGAATGGTCTGGCGGCTTCTCGCTTTACCAGAACCGGTGCATCGATTTTCATCACAGGGCTGATGCGCTGTTTTGAAATAAATGAAAAGAAATCAGCAATCATGGAATGCTATAGACCCGACAGAAAGCGTTGGACATACTCGAACATGAGAGGATGCCTCCAGTCTTTGCAGGTCCTCTGGCTTGTGAAGTTCGATCGAGACTCCAAAATAGACATCCGGTACAAAAGTTAGATCTTGCAGAACTCTGTGAGCGATACCCTCTTCGTTCAAATGGTTTTCGAAAGCTTGGAGTGACGGCTTATGATTGTATTGACATGAGTGTTAGTTCTGCGTCCATGAGAGTAGGGTGTCGGTTGATGCTTTTGTACTCAACTGATTCTTCAGGATTTATGGACAGGATGAACCGAGAAGGAGATTCGATCGCCGAATCCAGCGTAGTTGACCCATAGAGCGGTAATAGTAGTGACAGTATGGAGATCAAATATAAATGAGTCGCTCTCATGATACTGATGAGCCGTGATGTTATAAGGATAGTGAGGTATCAAGTTTTCCAAGAACTGGGTGAGTATTGTAAGCGTCAAACCAGGTAAGCATGGGGAAAATGTTCATTACACGAGATCACCAAGCCTTTATAGTTTGATGATTAATAAGATGCTGGGCCTGAGATGAATGCGGAGCCATGAATGCCGACTGGGTATATCGTTCCGCGGAACGGCTCCATCGGAAGCCATTTGACTTGCGCTCCCCGCTGGCTGCTGGCCTTTGTATAGACGAAGCTGGTTGATATTGACAAATGAATCGCAGCCACCAATTCACAAAGGTGATTTGTGCTCATTTGTGGATATTGAAATTTGAATTGCAGATCACAACAGGACGCCATTACGGCACACAAATAGGACAATCACTGACTTCATGACTTGACTTGCTTTCAAGACTGTGCTTGGTGGCGAGACGCTTGCTGACCAGTGACCAGGTCGGGGGCTCACTGGCTAATCACTTTGTCAAAAGTCAATCCACCTTGGGATGAACGCACCTATACCATAGGCTGCTGACTGCTCAGAGTCCAAGCAATGGCCTTGTCGTGAGGGCTACGGCACCATCGCTCGACGCTCTGACCGATTCGTGTCAAACGGAGACCAAGTCCGAGCACCTACAACATATGTAGCAACTGGCAAATCACACCATAAAATTTCTGCCCACACAAAACACGAATCATGTGGGCACCTTCCTGCTCTGATATCAGGTCTCGCGGAAAAACAAAATCGCCTTGTTCATAGAATCGGCACCGGTGGCATCAATATTAAAGGGGACCCTTTCGAGGGGCGCTGGACTGCTTCTGAATTGAGGAATTTGGCATTGGATGACGCCGCAATACGGACGTATCTCCGTCCATATCAGGTCTTTGGGAGCAGAACTGCAGGTGTACTGAGGATTTTTCTGAGCATCTTCTGAGACCCGCCCGGAGGCTGATCCTCTCGTTATGTTACGGACTTGCAAGTTGCTGACGCTTTCCAAAAGCTGTCTCTTTTGTCAAATTTCCGCTCTTTTCCTCTCCTTCTGCCATCATACGGATGTACTTTTCAAGCTTTACCTCAGGAACATCAAAATCCCTTCCGCCACTTTGGAGAAAACCTTCATCCGCGAACTTTGTCGAGACCTGGGTACACAAGCAATAAGGGCTTGTCAAATCTGAACATGTGTCCGTACTGTGGGCAGAGTCTATCAGAGAATGATTCACATCCCTCAAGCTCCTCTTGCGCACATATCGGAGCCATTACGAGGTTTCCTTATTATCCAACTTGCCGTCTTATTCCTTTCGGAATGATGACAACGCCAGGATCAAAAGGTCCACATACAAAATGGGCTTCGTCACCCTCTTGTCCCGTTGATGCTGCTTCTGTGTGCGAGCCTCAAGTGTCTACCTCATTTATATGCTCTTCTCAAAGTACATCCAATTGAGAGTATTGCAATTTGATGTACGGGTAAAGAGTTGTAGTGCGTTTTTGAAGCTTTGGAGTTCGGAAGACAGACTTTTTACTTGGACATCGTTTTGACTATCATATCATTCTCATAGGAACATAGAAAATTCAACACCTCAATAGAATGAGAATGGTTTTCTGAATTATCTTTCTGTAGCAATGCTACATGTCTCAGTCAGCTTGACTTCTTTTGATATCAACGACCAAGCTCACTCATGATGTACAATCTTTCGATAATTAACATAGTGTCTCATAGAGTTAGTCTGATAGAATGATACTCATAACCTTGCAAGCTTCTGCTCACGAGTTGTGACTAGAATTACTCTCCTTGATAGCCATGAGTAAGTGATTCACACGCAATAGCAATGACAATATACAAAAGTTGCGTATGGACAAGATAGATAGATATATTCATCCCGATTTCAAGAGTAGCAGAATCACACAGATGGTCGGAGTATTGCAAACGTTCTTCGGCTATTTGATGGCTTCTGGTATGGTAATAACTCAGTCGAGTGGACAAGAAGGTGGTGAAGATGTGATATTAACGTGAAGCCGTGCATATTATGACTTGTATTAGAACTCGAACGCTCGATCCATGTCCTTATGGATGAGCTCCTTCATCCCTTGAGGCATGATCGGTGACCCACTTTCATCAGCCAGGTAACGAAATGGCATTTCCACTGATTCTCGTGGTCCGAAGTTCAGGGTCGGCCGGTCGGTCCATGGTAAGTTTTCTAATTCGATTCCATCTTCGACGATCCGTTTAGAAACGGCTACAGCAGTGTCGGTGGTCATTTGAATGGGTCCTAAGTGTCGACTTGGAAATCCGAATTTGCGTAGCTGAGCTGTTCGATCACGAGGGGGATCGTCACCCAGTATACCTCCAAATAAAAACCATCGGAATCGTTTGGCATCAGCGGGCTCCAGGACGGTCTCGGCCCGAGGATCCAGTAGACAAACTTCGCTCAGGCTGATTCTCTCGGCAGACATAAGCTCAAGCACGGGTAGCATAGTGCAAATGCACCGATCGGGTTGAGCCAGGTCAGCTGTTGGAGTCGAAGATACGGCCCGTAGCGAGCGAGCTACTGGGGTTTCAGTGCGCTGGTTCAAGAGATCGATGAGGCCATCTGTTCCCGCTGACGATAAATTGGCAAAGATGACCCGTGATGGTGTTGATGATCCGATAGGCTTGGTCGTTGTCAAATCAACAGGGCTAGCCGTGATAGCTGGCTTGGATATTTTCTTTCCTTCAACGCCAATCTGTTGTAAAATGTGATGGTACTCCAATACGACCCATTCCGGTAACGGTTTCTCATGAACTTGTTCATCCGCTTCCATGTGTTCTATAGAAAGACCCAAGAAGAAAATTAATGTTTGAGCCGATAATTCGGAACAGATCAATATGCTGCCTACCAATGACATATGTCTTGCCCATTTTCACAACGGTTTTGTGGGATTGGAGAGAGTTCGACTTGAGGTGAGAAAGCTTGAAGAGAGCTATTACAACGCGGAGAGGAAATATCGACCAAGTTTTTCAAAAAATTCTTGATACCATTTCGGCCCCGGCGTGCCCGAGGACAAATACTCGGAGAACGGGCTCGGCGGTCCAGAAAACCTTCGTCCGGATACCACGTGCAAAGATGGCCGTGCCGTGTTGATGGTGTTTTCATGCAGTGCAGCCAATGCACATTGAAAAAAGTATGCTTTGAAGGATCACCACAATTGACTGAGAATTTCAAGGCTAAAACCATAAAAAAACCATAAAAATAGTGATATGCAAGGCTACTCAAAGTCATGAAAGACAATTGCCTTTCGTCGCCTGGGCTCAATGTTTGACAGATTTCTCAAAATCTCTACACAATTTTGTTAACCAATCCAGAAATAAAATTTCAAGCAATAAAATTTACAAAAGATACAAAAGATACAAAACAAATCACATAATAAACTTTCAAAAGATCAACCGAGTATTTTTTCACAAGTTGAAGTAGTTTTGGTGATCAAGTTTGGTTAAAAGATTTCAAAAAGATAAAGGTTTAGGTAAATAGATGAACGTAGTATGATACAAAGGACGAAGTGATCCTACATATGTAGTGTGAAACCTCCAGCTTGAAATCTATGACAGTATGTATACAAGATCTTCAGGTATACATAATCTGAAAGAATTAAGCCATAGAGATTCCCATCACAGCTTTTGGTTTAACGCCCCAGTTTGGACGACAAAAGTATACTGGAGAGAACCTTGTAAGGGCTGATTGTTGACCTGGTGGTGGTCTAAGGATTTAAGAATCAGAAAAAAAGATAAGAGGTTTAGTTCTAAGACGCGAGATATATATATATAAAGACAGAAAGAAAGACTAACAAGACTCGATGGGCCAAGGAGGTACTGATGAACCGAAACAAAAGAATTGTGGAATAGAAGATGATGGGAATCAGCTTAATTGATCATGGTGTTTATTCTACCCAATTTCAAAGAAGTCAAAGACTAACATAGCTCCACCAGTTAAAGCTTTCAAGTAGTCACCAGAGTTGATGGATGCGTAGCCTGCTATTGGCTAGAGAAAAACATCACCATACACGTCAGTGGTGTAACTTTAAGACATGAGACAGTTTATGGTGTATTTTTACCTTCATCCATTGCCATGTCGAATCACCTGGGGCCTGGAATTGAAGACCACCGACATTGTCGAAAAGGATTGCCTGTTGAATAACCGGTTGTTAATAGAAGTCGGTATCAAGAGTAGTGCAGGGACATACAAAGGTTCCGAAATCATAATGCTCAGCCGAGTGGATTTCTTCTTCACTTGCTTCTGCTTTGAGAGGAGGTGTCATGGTGATACTGTCCAATTTAATCAGCACTTTTTGTGTGGTTGGATCATGAGTTGAAATCGTAAATTGCTCACCGAGCACCACTTCCATTCTTTCCATTATGTAAATCTACAAGAGTACCTTGCGGTAACTCTAACTTCTTCTCGATGATATCCAAGAGAACCAAAGAAACTTCTCGACCAGCATTCATGAAATCTTGTACTGATGGTAGTGTTCTATCAGAAGATTCTAAAGAGACTCGTCCACCTTGGTTTTTCAAAAAACTTTCCACTGCATCGTGTCCTACATTCATAATCTCAGCCCCGTCATAGAACCCTCCTTTATAACTGTACCACAAGTAAACATGGGCTCATCAATACAGGAAGAAAACAGTGTAAAAGAAATATAATATGGAATTGGGTGCATATGATGGATTCAAAGCAGTACTTACCCAAAGGTGTAACGAGTGTCTCCCTGAGGGAATCGCATTTTTTCTTCTAGTTTTTCAGGAAAGGTTGTCTCTGCCAAGTCAATCAATGGCTGAGGATCAACACCCGTGTTTTTAAGACTGTTCCAAAACAATGGAGTAAATTCACATTAGCTCATAGCTTGAAGAGCATCAATGATGTTCGCACTGAATAAACACTAGTGAGGGAATCGGATTGGTACTCACTAGAAGAAGCTCACACCAGTGAAAGCTTTCCACATTCTGTTGATCTCATCTTTATTCCCTTTCTTGATCAACTCATAATCTATGACTTCAAGATCGGCAACCGGAAGCTCAGAAGGGAATGGAATTGTTGCTTCAGGGTAGTAAACTGGCGACATTTTTTCGAAGGGTTTTTTTCTTGTGAAGAATGTGGAGTTTAATAAGTATAACTTGGTTGTAAAGTGAAGACTTAGAAAAGGCTCAAATCTCTGGTGAAAATTGGGATTGATAAGAAGGATCTGTTGAGGTAAAAAGGCTCGCCTTTTATACCTTTCTGATGGATCATGAGATTGGAATGTTGAGAATACGTTCGCGTGCTTTTACTCTGGCCAAGACAATATTCCGGCAAGACCAGAGTCCTATAGCCGCGATCGAACCACACGGATTCGTCTTGCATTGGAACCTCGCCGCTTTTGAGGTAATTCCGCAGACGTTCATCGCCCCGATTGAACCCTGCCTTTTTCTGCATCAAGAACTCCAAGGTGAGATACATACGCGAAACCCATCAGGTATTACACGATGTGTTGTGTTATGAACCATTCTATCGGCCACGCGGTGAAGGCTGTGAGATTGATCCTAGAAACCTAACTTGTCTTCCGGCATCAAGGTCCGAAGAGGGGCAAAGAATGAAACCCACCAAATCTATTTATCACCAAATATCCCCGCCCCAAGATTGAGTTGGGTAGGCAGTGTTGGTGAACTGAAGCGATTTCTTGAGGCTCACCGCTCAACTGACTTTACCCGCAGAAAAGGGAATCTGGGACATGCTTCATGACATCTGCGTATATGTACTTATGTTTAATTACTATAGCTGTGTTAATTATGTAAAATCATTTAAGAATTGTGGGTCTATAGTTTCTCTTTCTCTTCCACAAGATAAATTCAAACGTGTTAAAAACCATCAAAGAGTTGACCAACGATATCATCCATATGCTCCTTTGGACCTGAGTGATGTATACCAAAACTCGGAGTTTATGAATGAAATGGGGATTCGGGAAATTTAATTCAGTTATTCCGGCATCGAACTCGGCATAGTTATCGGGTTTAAAGTCTCCGGATTTGATCACGCATCGGTATGGGGGGCAGAAGTAGGTGTCCGCAGGCGGTTCTTTTCTGGTTCTTGACTCAAGACTCAGTGGCGGAGCGGCCATTGCCTGCGGCCCGCTCACTGGTTTTGCCTGAAGATTAGCAAAAAGGTTCTAAAGAAGTTGATTTCAACTGTGATGGCTAAATCCGAAATTAAACCAATTGGAAGTGTTGCAATCGAATTCGAATCAAGAAAGTCTTGAGTGTCTATGGTTTTTTTTGGTTGTTTTGATCATGATTCACGGTCATAAAACTTATTCTTCACCATACCAAAACATTCAAACTTGTTGAAATATATAGATTTCTTCATTGACTTTTCATTCGAGTTATGATTGAATATTGATATTCACAACCCACATGCGTTGACGGTGTCTTGATTTTGATCTCTTGTCTTAAATGAAGCAAGAGAAGATGATCCAAAAAATCAAAAGCCATCTCTTGCTACTGTAGTTCAACAAAGCCCTCTCCTGCGCGCTTCTTCTTCTTCTTCTTCTTCTTTGACCTGTGATAAGATATTCTTTTCGAAAGAAAGATGTGAATTTCCGAAAGCCTTCCTTCAGTTCTCACTCTCAGGAGGAGGTCTGGGAATTTGAGCAGGGACTTATGTAACTTGAGTTAGGGCTTTACAAGATGGCGGGATGGAATTTAATGTAAGCTTAACTAAGCCCCTCTCGCGCGGCTGCGTCCGCGCCCCTCGAAGAGGGGCTTACAACGGACTCGTACTTTTTGGCAGGAGAGCTCCAAGAATTAAGGTGCCTTAAGTAGTTTTTTGGACTTCTCCTCGAGCCCTCACCGTAGAATTTCTCAAGTTTCTCGTATGTTGTTCTTCACACTTTTGTACATGATCTGGTACCTCATAGTTTGTCTCACCTTGAGGGGAAGTGTTATAAATATGCGATGAAGATTTGGTAATATGTGTGCTTAAGTGCTTTCAAATTTCGTATCCAAGGCATATGAAGAAGGCTTAGGCCATTACAAGAGGACGTAAGGCCTTGTAAGGCCCATTCTTGACACAGCTCTCAAAGCATGCAGAGCTATCTGTTTCTCATGAAACTTGTGCCAGCAAATGTACAAAGGCATGAAGAAAAACATACCAGCAGCTCACAAATTTCTACGGTGAGGATTTGAGGAGAAGTCCAAAAAACAACATAAAGGGACTTAATTCTTGGAGCTCTCCTGCCGAAAAGTACGAGTCCGTTGTAAGCCCCTCTTCGAGGGGCGCGGACGCAGCCGCGCGAGAGGGGCTTAGTTAAGCTTAAATTTAATGGTAGATGCACTGGGTAGATGAGCTTTTAGTTCTATTTTTGTTGAATTCAAGCTGGAAGTGTTGTAAAATGGACTGAAGTTGATCGAATTTGAATAGAACTTTCCACGATCGATAAAAGTGATTTAAATTTTAAAATTAACTAGAAATACAAATAGAATCCTGTTCTTGATTAGAAAGAACTTCAAATACCAAGACACAGACTCAAGAAAATATCAATCAACCAACCTATCGACTATCAAACCAACTCACCTTCACCTTCACCTTTACCTTTAGCTTCAGCCATGATGTATATCGGATCAAATCATAAAAAACTGTAAGATATCAATCGATCAACTTAACTTGAACAGTTCACAAACTAACGATAATGATAACCATTTCAAAGGGTCAATGCATGTTACCCAACCGAAGATAAAACCTCAACCTCAACCTCAACATCCAAACCGAATCCCAACTCACTGAGCAAACTAACCTATTACTGTCAAACCAAACCACACAAGATCAAAAAAGTCACTCACTATTTAATTTCATATGCTCAATCCCAATCCAAACCTTCATCCATCAGTACATCTTTTTCTCCTTATCGTCATTCGAAATCAGGATTACTTTGTACCCTTGAAATCTTTAATTCTATTCTGATTACTTCTCATCATCATCTACAAGAATTCTTGATCGATTTACTTTATTTGATACATATTGGATTAGGTTTAATTCCTTATCATCACAACCATCTTCTAGCTAAGAATGATCATGAGATTATTGGTCATGGTTGGGTTGCTCAAGATTTGGATTTGGCCGTCTTATCGGTCGAATTGTTTTGTAATTGGATTAGCTTGATTGATAGTCAAACTTTTTGGGATGATCAATTGTCTAAATATCATTTGTTTTTATTGGCTAAATTCTCTTCTATCGGTTTGGTTAAATCTTCTTCTAATCAATCATTTAATTTGTAATCATCCAAAGTTTTTTTCCATTTTTTTTTAAAAAAAAGAAATCTTTTTCCTTCTTTTGAAAGACTCAAATTGACCAAAGCTTTTTTTGATTTATTTTTAAATAGTGCTCGGAATTTGGCTATTTTGGCTTTAGGCGATCTTGTCTTATCTGAAGGTCTTTATTCTAGTACTGAGTTTTCGAGTCAGATCAAGTTGACTATTCCAGGGATCATGGCTAGTTTCTTACCTAACCCAACCGATTCATCAGATCAATCGACCTTTACGCTCATGTAAGTGTCTAATCATTTTCAATACAAAAAAACACAATATCACTGAAGGAAATTTTGTTTTTTGATTGAATAGTAAGGAATTAGGAGGTGATGAATCGATTGAAGAACTTGAAATGAAGATCCGAATCCAGCGAGAAAAGCTTTTAGAAACGATCAAGAAACCGAACCCAAGTCCCATGACCCCCAACGAGTTAACGATTTATTCATTAGATATATTTCATTTTTTACTTAAGACAAACTTATCAAGTTTAATACAATTTGAAATCATCATTTCATCAATCTTTTCGAATTTAGAAAATTCTTTTACGATCCATTCAATGGATCAATTCGAATGGTATTTATGGATATCACAAAGGATTTTAGAAAATTCTAGATTGAAGTATAGATCGATTGTGATTGATTTGTTGGTTAGTAGATTGATGATTTTAGATACCAGATTATTACAAAAAGAAGCCAAGAAAGAATTAATCAAGTCAAAGATCAAATTATTTGGAAGAATTTTGAATAGGTTATTGAAAGATGAAATGGTGTTGAAGATTGAAGTTTTAAATCGAATGAAGATCTTAAATGAATTGATTAAATTGGTTTATAGAAATCCTCAACTTCATGTTTTGATTGATTGTATTGGTTCATTATGTTTGAATCTATTTGATCAACAAGAGATTGATGAGGTTTGTCAATTGGTTTTGGAAAAAGTGGTTTCTATTGAATCATCTGATTCTACCACACATCAAGATTTCATTCATGCTTTGTTGAAAGCTTTGGATTTGATCTTGATCCACTCAAATCGATTACCTTCTTATCAAATCTGGATTCCGTTCCTCATATCCGATTCATCTAACCTTCAAAACTCTAAATTATTTGATCAAGCTTTAAAGACTTATTTAAAACGTCGATCAGATCTTAATGAAGATCATCAAGCTTTCTTGAGTGCTTTGAATGTCTTTGTTTATAAAACTGATCAACATCAATCGATTCTAGAATTACTTTTGAAGAAATCATGGACGATCTATACAAGTTGTTTACCTATGCTTATGCAACTTGATCTCAAGACTCCTTTGGTGCTGAAAACCTTTGAAATTATGGGGTGTACGGATGGGGTTCAAGAATGGGATCTATTGATTCAAAACGTTTGGAAGGAGATTTCGGATCAACCGGATCGACAAGAAGGAATGAATGAAGAAAGCTTTAAAGATGAGATTTATAAACGGATTTGGACGATTGATTATGGATTAAGGATCGGTTTGTTGATGTTTTCTCTTAGATACACGAATCATTTAAAACGAAAGGAAATCAAATCTGATGATGTTTTTTTGGGTGGTTGGATTCTTGTAGCTGGAATTGAGATGATCAACAAACGTAAAAGTCATAAATCATTAAACTTTAAACGAATCTCATCAATCAAAAGTCAACAAACCAACAAATCGATCAGTCCATCCAAAGTGTTAAACAACACCACCCATCAGTTTCGAAATTATCCATCGATTTTAGAATTAAGAGAAAGTTTATTAGGTAAAACTCAGCAGCGAAGATCGATTGAAAGTTCTGCGGAAAGTTTGGGCGGTTTGAAAACTTCGATTGGGTCTAGGAAAAGTACAAGGGTGGGAAGGAGTGGAAGGGTTTTGGAGGCACTGGATGGGTTGGAGTTTGGGGCTATTGGGGGGTTTGGGGTCACTGAACTTGGGTCGGGTTCTAAGAATGGAGAATTGATGAAATCGATTAGGTTCGTGTGTTTTTCCCCTTTTTTTCAGTTTGTTATACGGTCGTTATTTTGGTTTTAGGTATTTATCACTTGTCTTTTTTTTGGGGGGTTTGGAAAAGTAGACTTCATGTTTCTCCTCCTTATGGACCTTGAAATTAACTTTTTAATTGGGATTCAACTCGATGGGTATCTTGGTTTTGTCACCATGGGGGTTTTGATATCGATGAGGTTATTTGATTTTTTTGTAGGATCGTCATCCTCATCGTCATCATTGTTGTTGTTATTGATTATTGTTAGGGTTTTCTTTGCTATGATTATTATTATTATTATTGATGTTGTTGTTGATTGTAATGAATGAAACTATTGGAACAACTTATCTACCCTTTTTTGTTTGGATTTCTTTAAAGGTTTGAAGGTTTTTTTTTGATGGATTGGTTTTTTGATGGATTGTTTTTTTGGGATGTGGATAGACTTTTGGCCGCTGGTCGGATGTCTCAATTTTTAAATTGACTCTCTTTTTTTCTGATTTAAAAACTTGCATGTGTTTTTTTTGGATCGTGCTTGTGCACACTTGAGAATCATGCTTTGAATGGTCTGGTTTGTTGGTAGCTCACAAGTTCACACTCATAGTCAAAAAAAGTGAAGCGTGTGTTACGGGTTTTTTTATCTTTGAAGATGGTTTTTGTCTCAGACTGATACTTTGTTGTAAGTATGAGATGAATTGAAGAGATCTTGAAGGATTTGTGGATCAGCAATGTCTATTATGATAATTTGTAATATGACTGTAAACTTTTTTTTTTTGAAAAAAACAACAAAGAGAACCATAAAACTATCAGTCATCAAAGTTTTGTTTTTAAGATGAGAAAGTGATGAAGGTTGATACAAGTTTGTAGGTTTGGAGAAAAAAGTGTCCAGTTTTGAAAAAAAAAAATGATAAGTATTAGTATGAGTCTGACACTATTTTTTAAATTCTTTATTAACTAAACAAAATTGTCTTTTGATATTCCTAAGAAGATAGTTGATGAACAAGTTAAGAAAGTTTTACTTGATCTTTATCTTTTAATACTTTATGATCCAATTCATTTTTCAAGAACTTATATTATTTATCTCAAACTATTCAATAAAGTTCAAATGAGAAAAAACAAATAGATGTGAAATGTGTGATTGAGTAAAAAAAAATTATGAAGAAAAAGATATCATTTTTTAAATTTATTGTCTAGGCCATTCTCCACAAGCGATTTTGAATCCACCTATTTGTGTGTATTGTCCGTTATTATCTGACCAATCCATACATTGAACTTTTGTTGTACTAGAACCTAAAAAAACAAAACAAAAAAAAGAAAATATGTTGATCAGTTACTGTTTATATATCAAATCTTTTCAACAGTTCATGTTTTTAGAAAATTTTAAATAAAGGGAAAGACTCACAAGCAAATCGAATCCATAGTTGTGTATGATGTGCTCCATCTGTCTTGACAGCGTCATAAGTACAATGATCTGGTCCCATGTTCAATGACATTCGTACGGCGATCGATTGAGCATAAGCTACTGGATCTCTTTGACCGGTTAAGAGACTATTCTTATAACTATTGAGAGCAGGATAGATGAGAAGATGAAATTTAAGTTATGTAGATGGGTTTTTTTGTTGTTGGGAAAGTTTGATCATCAAAAGGCATGAAATTTGACTTACCTACAAAACAAACAGTTTAGATCTTTAGCAGATACGAAGAGGATACAGGAGATCAACAGAACAAATAAGGATTTCAACATGGTTGCTTGCTTGCAATTACTTTTACGTTTTTATGGGTATGAAGACTGAAGTGTTGAGAAAAGATAGAGTGGGATGAATTGATGGAGGATATATGGTTAGTCAAGACTGGAAACTTATATAGCTTGGAGAAAATTCGACAGGTTTTTTTTTCTGGATGAACAAGACCACCTCCCACTTTTTTGGTCTCCACAGGGTGGTAAAACGCATTGATAGAGGGCCGAGATTACGATACTGTATGGTATATGAATCAAAGAAGATGCAGAACATTTAAGAAGATTGGGGTCTGAACTCGGTTGAATCTGGTTGATTAAAGCAAGAATCGGGACCCTATCCGAGTCCCGGAAACATAAGCAGAACATGGATTCCGGTGGCAGTGCAGCAGGCTGAAGAAGAATCGGACAAAGTGTGTGAGGTTGAGCTTTTTGAGGGCGAACCCTAACCATGTGACTCCAATTGCACGAGGTCAATCGTTAAGGAAGATGTGGTACAGCTGTTTGCATAAAAAAATTGGGTTGTGTGTGACAATCCAGCTTGCCTGGGCCTGATGTGAGGTTTTGACACATTGGACACTTTCTCAGGAATTGTGGTGTTTTTTCCAAACTCTAACCGCTCATTACTCTGCAATAAATGAGTCAGATAAGGAGTGAGATACATTCAGGTGTGTAGAATCAGTGGGCACACAAGACCTTTCTTGGGTCCAGGATATATTTATTTGTAGGTGACAGAGCTATTGAGGGTTGAAGAAGTCCCCAGCCAAACAAAATTGGCTCACACACACCAAATTTCACGTATAAGCCACAAGTCCCTCTCTTGATTGCTTTCTTGTCCAACAGAGACTTAGTTAAGTTGGTGGCAGGTATATTCAGAAGAAAAAAGTAGCTAGTGTGTAGTTGCTGTTCACTTTATCTTACATGTATTTAGTTTTTTCACCTATTGACGTAGTCTGTATTTCCTCTTAACTTTCTGGTTTTATGAGTCTCAACTTTGTCTGGTTTGTCTTTTTGTCAATGTCTTAATGTTTATGGCCATTTATTTCAACTGCTATATACATTCTTGTGCCCAGTGCACTGCGCCACTGCACTATCATCATCGCAGGGGATAAAGCAGGATAAAGCCTTGTGAGTAGACTGCACAACTTACACACCGCAGCAACACACCAGAGGATCATTTTGCAGCGCATCACAGTTTTGTGCAAAACTGTGGTTCACTACGGTGACGTTGCGGGTTGGATCCAACAAGCTTTCAAGAAACAACGGATTCCAAAACATGGCCAAAGGAACAGAAAACATACAAAGCCAACATGAACACAACTAGCAAATCTTCAGATCAAGTACAAGTCCATTAAGGAGATGTAGACTGTTTAGGAGCCAATACTTGACATTCTAATGAACCAGCATATTCAATCCAATCAACTTAAACACGTCGCAGGCATTCAGAGCACTTTGCGAGTAAAGTCAACCCTTGCCCGGGTGGCCATTGTAGTTAACACCTTTAAACACAACTCCTGACCTCGATTTCCTGAGGAAAAAATATGCCATTAGCCACCATTCAAAGTGCAAACATATATCGGACGATCAACAAACAATTTCGAGGTTCCTTCATTAACAATGACGTCACGGGTTTGATGGTGATGCGAGCTATGTCAAATTAACAGTTTAACACATTGATTAATGTTGTGGAGAGCAAGGTTTAACGGTTCTTCAGGGTGCGGATGTGGATGGTGGTATTACCTGGCTTCTTCGGGTATGCTACGAGCTTCTACTCCCTTTGTATCGCTGTAGGAGCCACCACTAATTTCCAAATCAGAGATAAGTAAGCAATGTAACTCTACTACTCTAGGAAGGGTAAATACCGCGATGATCTCACCTCGAATGGGGCGTCGCTATGCCAGAAGCTGCGATAGATATGAAAAGACAAATTGAGAAAAACAGTGCTAATAGATAATGCTCTGGGGAAGATGAGATTACTCACCTGCACTCCCAATGAGAAAGGCAAGGACAACACTGATGCGCATATTATTTAGATGTGAAATGGGATGGATGATTCAGAAGGACTCAGATGGTCTCAGAGAGATTGTAAGTTATCGATTGCAATGAGATCAGTTGAGGGGAGAAAGCAAAAGTGCTCGAAGAGAAGTCGCTCATTTATATGTTCGACTTGGGAGACCGCTATGTTCATAATCACGTCAAGTTGTCGGTTCAAGGAGCTACATATGAATAAATACATACTTACAATCGAACTTGAGCCAGCTTGAGCCTCTCACGCTGAAACACACCCACGCGATGTCTTTTGGGCCCGGCTGTCAACCAATGTGACACGCATGAGCCAAGCGTGGAACATGTCCAACAGCTCGCTCACGCTTTGGCAGGCCTCTGACACAAGCCGAGGTCGGTGGCCAAAGCAGTTCAGATGCCATGTGAGTGGCATCGGTCTCATCGATCGGTCTCATCGAGACCGATGCGTTGACCCGCTTTGTTGTGCCCTGTGTGATGGAGCCCGGTGACTGCTTTCAGTCCGCAGGCGTTCATCACGTAGACTACAATGCAACCAATTAGCGGTACACAAATACAGCTGTTCACGAAATTAATGAAATGTGAATTCATTAAACTTACAAAGAACTTAGTATAGAAATACTAAAGCAGCACGAGGTTTTGGGCCAATCCCAAGGCTAAGTGCCAAGGGTTATGAATTACTTGAATAAATGTAAAAACCCTACGGGGTGGTAGCGGAACCTAACTAATAAATGATGTAAGACAATTATGAAAAAATGAACTAAAAAATAAAATAGAAGATAAGAATAGAACCGAACAAACATTGAAACTAAACCATAATGAAAGATCAACTTTAAGCATAAACTGAAACTGAAAAATAACTCAAAAGGGACCTTATAAACCATAAACTAATGAAATAATACACAAAATATAGCATAAAGGATAAAGACAAAAACACAAAATGTAACCAAATGGGAAACGGGAGGGTGGGACAAAACTTAAAGCAACAGAACAGATATCTAAGAATATCTAAGAGGAAACAGGAGACTGAGAGAACGATGGGAAGGAATCGAATAAGTTGGAACACGGTGGTAAACAGGAAATGACATCATGTCTGAAAATCACACTAAAGAGGGAAGAATCCGACCCGTCAGTACTCAAACGTGTAATGTTACAGTCCCAACTTCTTCCCATTCCCATCTGTTAATAAGCAAGTTACCAACTACTAGAAATGTGAATTCATTAAACTTACAAAGAACTTAGTATAGAAATACTAAAGCAGCACGAGGTTTTGGGCCAATCCCAAGGCTAAGTGCCAAGGGTTATGAATTACTTGAATAAATGTAAAAACCCTCTCCGACCCGCCTATAAACAGCGTAAATCAGAGTGGTGACGTAGGAGAGGAAGAAAAGCCATAAAAGTTATAGAAATAGCCGATATGTCAGTTTCCAGTTAACCAGCAAGCCCAAACCCACACCAAACCAAAAAATTGGTATGAAACCCAGACGGGAAAAGACCCAAAAAGGAAAGAACAACCAAATAATCGAACCAAAAACCAGGTATGAAAACCTTAAACGAGACTCACTTTTTAAGAAAAAGAGACTCTCGAGCCAACGTGAGACGCGAGCCCAATTACGTGATTTTGATTCTCAGGTAATCGTAAGGCCACGTGTCCCCGGACATAGATCAGAAAGGCCTCAGAAGACCAGCGACCAGCGCTTTTGATGAAATCTAAATTGGCACCTGCCTGAGCCAACGCTGTCGCACCACCAGAACGCATGGAATGACCGGAAAAGGATTTGTCAAAGTGAATATGAAATTTTTTCAGGAACCAAGCACAAGAAGGAGGAACACCTTCCGATGTAACAAATAGTTCAGTCGAGGTGATGAAAGCCTTGTCTCTGGCGCGGAGATAAGTTTTTAGAAGTTTGATAGGACATGCTGATGTGTCGGCGAATTGTTGAATGACAACCGGGGCGCCCAGGAAGTTACGATTGCCTTTAGAGTAAGGTAAATTAAATTGGACGAATTTCTTGCAGGATGAGAACTTGAGGGAAGAACGTAAGATAATTTTCCTTGGATCAAGGAATTTTTTCGAATCGGGAACAGTCAGTTCGCCTAAGCGGTGGAGACCTCTGAATCCAATACCTAACATAGCTAAAAATAGTTTGTTGTCAAAAGAAGAGGATGAATTGGAAATCACTAATTCTAAATGTTCAATTGTGAGATGATTCTTTCGCTTGACTGGTTTCGAAAAATTCGCCATACAAAACTTCATTGTGTCTTTAACCTCTTGATGCTTTGCTTCACAGATGATTAAAGGAAATTCGAGCCTGAAAATATGAGCAATGCCGATTAAATACGCTCTAACTGATCTTGGGGAAATGATACGACTCATAATAGAAACAAAATCACATAAGTTCTGTTTATTTGGGATGAAAGGTTGCTTAAAATGGATACAAAATTTTGAAAACGAGCGGAAACCGGACTTGTATTTTTCTAAAGAAATTGCTTGAATAGAAGAACGTTGATCCTTTTTTGAAATAGAACGGAGGTCTTCTAGACTAATCTTCCACAAAGGGTTGTTTGAATTTGAATTACAGGTCAATGACGATTTGGGTCTGACCATATTCGCAAAGAAGAATCAAAGGTTTTTAGATTGGAATTGGTGCCCCCAGCAGAGAGAGAGGGATCTATTTTAAGATAGCACACTGAGTCAGCATCACACGCGAGACGTAGAATTTCCAAATTGTTGGGAGATAAAATAGATGTTTGACGAGACAAGATGTCGGTGGTTGCATTGACGACTCCTGAGACATGTTTGACCTTCACCTCGACTTTTGATTCCACAATTTGTTTGACGCAATGACGGAACAGAGGCCTGACAATCTCGTTAGGCGCATGATTGCTAAATAAGTTCACTGAATTAAGATTGTCCGAGTGAACCAGAATCTTTTTTGCACCGTTCCTGATACCTATATTAACAGCTGAGATTATACCTAGTAACT